AATGTTTTCTACAGTATTAGCAGCTAAAAGCACCTGCGAACATTTTCTTTTCTTTCTTTCTTTCTTTCTTTTTTTTTTTTTTTGCTTTATAAACCTTGGGCTTTGCAATCTCAGGCCATTTTAGAGAGGAAGACCAGCAAGGCTCAGGTTTTAAATGAATTGGCTCTACATTTGCTCTTTTAGCCGAAGAAGCACGTTTCCCCATTCCAGGCCACGAGGCAATTCCGTGTCAACTTGCTATGGTGTCAACTGCGACAAACTCCGGGAGCTCCAGTGACGAGGAGGCGGCTCTAAGCACCCGCTGCTTCCCATACTCCCGCAGCATCAGGACGCGGCGCCCTCGGGGCTCCCCACGCCGCCTTCCGGGCAAAGGCCAGTACACCCCCTTCTCTGTCTGGGGAAACTGAGGCACCATGACGCGAACGATCCACAGCCCGGCGTGGGGCCCGGTCTCTGCCTGGCGTCCTCCTCCTGGGAGGAGATCCTAGAGGCTCTGGGTCAGTGCGCTGCAGACAGCTCGCTCCTGGCCCTCAGAAGGTTGTGGCACGAGCCTGGAACTCGGCTGTCCCCAACCCAGCAGTCCCCGCCCTGCACGTTTTTCCAGCATCCCACCACCAGCCACGAGCAAGGACCGAAGGGCACCTCCAGGCGCCTAGCCTCCGCCAGCCCAGGCGTCCGAAAGTTGCGCAGCTCGGGTGGTCGCTGACCACAAACCCGGCGCCGGGCTCGCTCCCACCGTGCCCCACCGCCCAGGCTCGCCCGCCCGGGTGCCCTCACTGACCTGACACCGCTGCGCCACTCCGGTGGTCGCCGTGCGCCGCTCGCCATGGCCACCGGGATAGGTCTGCAGAGCCCAGCGCGTACCGACCTCCTCCGCCCGCGCTTCTTCTGGATGCGGGCTGCCAGCCCTGCCTCCGGGAGCCGGAGCTTTCCACCTACGGGCGCCGGAGCCGGCAAGAGCCGAGCATGCCCAGTGCGGCTCCCGGCGGTGCCGAGGCCCGGTGCGCGCTGCAGAACCGGGTTTTCGGGGCAGCTGAGGGCGGAGGCGGGCCGCTGCGGGTGGCGGGCTCCACCCACCCGGGGCGGGCCACGCTCGGCGAGCTCCGCCCCTGGGCGGGGCCGGGCGGCCACCGGGCGGTGCTCCTGCGCGCCGAGGTGACTTACCCCAGCTCTTGCACCAGACGAGGTGGTGCTGGGGCGGCGTGACTGGTTAATTGTCGGGGGGGCAGGGCGCTGCAGGCGCTGTCACGGCAACTTTGGCGTCGCGGTGGCGTCCAAGGACACGCAGGAACAGGCGTCTTCGAGCGCCATCCTGGAGGCCACGGACCACCAGCCCACCCTCCAATTAACCTACCCAGTCTCTAAGGTTATCACACACAACCACCTCGGGAGCCGAGGCATCTGGAGCCTTCCCGGAGGCTGCTCTGTCACACCTAAAGCACAGCGGACGCCTCGAAGCGACTGGGATAAGACACAGCAGGGTGTTTGCGGGTGGCAGGGTTACAGGGGGGCAGGGAGGGGGATTTATAAAATGCCCCTTAAAATTATTTGCAGTTTCGACGTTTTCTCTAACGAGGAGTTCAGTTGTTTTCTTGGTGGGAAAAATAAGTACTCTAAAAATATTTTTAACACCTACATAAGTTTTCTATGCATAATCCTGCAGCCTTATTTTCTATGCACAATCCTGTAGTATTAGTGGGTTCCCCCACCCCCACCCCCGACACACACACACACACACACACACACACACACACACACACACACACACACACACCATTTCTTTTAGAGAGCTTGTCAGTTTCTGGGGCAGTGACCAGGCTCCCCCTCCCCTCTTCTTTACTGGCCCCCTCCGGCCACGCCCCGCACCAGCTTTTTTTTTTTTTTTTTTTTTTTTTTT